TCTGACAATAGCTACGTTTATCGCCGACGAACGACGATTTCTATGAAGTTTTGATAAGTTTCATCGACGTTTCTACGTCCCAGGTAAAAACTAAAGGGTTCACTACAGGGTAACTTTGCCCCTTCGTTGGGAAGGTTAACCGCATCATTTCGTCACAGTTTTGCCTGTGTTTTCAACCGGGCGGCACCGATGTGACACGGATAATTTTATGTGAATTTCTGGTGCGAATACGACCACACTGCAACAATGAACGACGAGTCACTGTAACGAAGCGGAGGCAAATGAACAGGGACTTCCCACATGCCACCTGAAACGTGAAGCGAACAAAATTGCAAGCCTTGGCCTCCCACAAAGGACGGAAACGTGAGTCGAACAAAGGAGGGAGTGTTCGCCTTCAACAGAGGACTGGAGACGTGAGCCGAACAAAAGAAACAGCGCTCGCCCTCCGCACGTCATCAGACGAAAGTGCACCTCGCACCGGAAGTACAGCTAGTCGGTCAACGTGGATTGGTCCTTGAGGATGAACAAAGAATCGCAGGCTTATAAAAAGATAAGTCATCGTTGGAACAGAGAGATTATTACGTAGATATGGAGATCATATTCTATCGTGTAGACAACTGCTGCTATTGTATGTGTGCTGTGCTTGCAAGTAAAGCTTTGTGACCAGATTCCGCGTCATTTTCCTCGCAACCCCCAGCCGGTTGCAATATAGTGATCAGAACCAATGCAAGCTCTACGCCTGACCCGAATCTTTAGTGAAAAACGGAATCATTTGTAACTTGCAACTGCCGGAGTTGGATCAGGCATAAAGGACATGACTAACATCTACAGATGGTTGAGTTGAGTTGGTTTAAACAGTTGTGACATCTACATTGCACCGATTTGCCGATTTGATGCGTTGAAGCGATTAGGTAAGTTTCATTTCACATTGCTGGTTAAAAACGAGTCCAGTATGACTCTAAGTGTTGGATATAATTTTGATAACTTTCTAAGAGAAGTCCCGTTGAAGAAGTGAACTGATATGACTGATGTAATTTCCTGCATTTATGCTGTGTCAGTCAGTGAAACTTGAGTAAACATGAAGAAACACGATAAGTTGCCAAAACGCTGGAGCAACAAAACCAGAAGTGAAAGTGACAAGGTGTAAGGTGACAGATTTTTCTTCTTAGAACCAAATAAACATCGGACACCGAACGGAACGACTGACCTTCGATAAGCCTCAGTTAGTCACCTGCAAGGAATGTACCCTGATCTTGTGCCTGGCCGCTTCAAAAGGAACTGCACTTTCTATGTAGAGGCAATTGCACATGTGAACAGAGCAAGATGGCCTGCTTAGCGCGCATAAGTGACATCACGGTTAGAGAAATTATAATCAAGCACGGGATGATCGATCGAGACGAACGCGCTACCAAATCATGAACAGCTCACATGCACATAAACGACTGAGGAAGAAAGGTACAGAGAACGTCTATGAGGATATCAAGCAAAGGACCTGACTTAATAGTGCTAATGATGGGATACTTACAAAGATGGCAAAGTTTCAGCTGGATAACCTCATTAATCTTAAAGCAACTTGTATGCGATAAGCGTATGAACCGTATTAATAAACGTCGATAAATGTCAGAGTGTCAAAATAGGAAACCTAGACGCTAGGTGCGAAATCAGGCAGTTAGATAGATATCGAAGACTATATTCATAAATGGAATGGGAAACAAAGAAATAGGAACACACACAAAAGTCACATGTACTTTGGTTAAACTGAGAGTAGGCACATGCTTCTACTTTTTCTGGCGTATGGTTAAGGTATCTATTTAGAAAATCTTCAGCTATGATAAAAGACTGGTGAATGCAGAGTAAGAAGCAAGATAGTGACGAAGAACAGGTGAAGAACTGACAATCAAAGTTGTCAATCATGATTTGAGTATTACTTTTAGTCGAAGTGAATGTTGGTAGCTGTTCAGCAATGCGAATTTGACGCCAACTAGAACAACGGCAGACATGAGACATATTTTTCAAGGTAACGGCTTCTGAAGTGAGTTGCCAAGCACTTGGCGGGTATTGAAATTAGCGGCTTGTAAGGAGCAGCAAGCGTTTTCATTTAG